TAAGGTCCATCTTTAATTTCTGGGCTTACCCAAAGGCAGAAGTTTAAGTTAGACAACATTTGCAAGTTTCTTCAATGCTAAGGGTAAATGATCCTCAAGCCCACTTCAACTAGTGTATGCACTGCATGAGCAGACTTTTACAGGTACTCATACTGTCTCATAAATATTCTCCGAAGTATCTTTCTTGAACAGCATGGGGTAAGCACTGATTTCCTAAGAGCCTGCCTGGGGAGGAAGTCACATCGGGAACTTCAAGGCATCATTCTGCCTACTGGCTCCACATACACATGGAAAACCATTTGTTTGACACTCACATTATGAAGCTATGGACTAATAAAGTTGGGAAGCCTACCAGTATCCACAATCAAATGCAGTGCCTTGGCTTCAAGGTTGTCAGCCATCTGAAAGCCCCTGCTGCTCATTTGTCCTAATGCCTGGAAGAGCCAGTAGTCGTGCAGGATGGAAAGAGTCCCTCTCTATATGGCTAAGCACAACATGATTCAAGGTGACGTTTAGTGGCTCATGGTCTGCAGAGCTTATCATCTCTCAAATCTCCTTCACGGAATAGTTTTCTGAACGTGCGACCTGGATTTTTGTTTCAGGAGAAGGGCACTGAATGTCACTTTGGGGAGCTCTCAGGTTACCCAGAGGAAGACTGGGCCCCAAACAGCCACCTCCTTCAAAACCCCCATTTTCAGTGAGTCCTGCCTCATATACGAAGGGCATATACAGAGGGTCATATACGAGAAACAATTAGAATCTCTTTATATTCCACTGATCCCTGTTAATAACTCCCTTGTATCAGACTTATTTATAGGAGTTTCCCCTTTAAACTAGTCTTTGAACTCCCACTGAGCAATGATATATATATAGATATATCTATATATCTATATCTATATCTATAAATCTTTACACCCTTTGCAGTACTACCCCAACACAGGAGTTTGCATGTTGGCGTTTTGTTGAATTGGACAGACTACATTTCAGCATTGATGTAAGGATGAGCCAGGGAAGGTCTAGAAATAGAAGGCTGGTCTCCTGACTTTTCTCTTAACAACTAGTTGCCAGACTATGATGCTGATGACTCTTCATAGCTGGCCAAGAGGCTGTGGCAGCTCAGCATGCTAAAGCTAAAAGTGGGGGAAAGGATCGTTGTATTTATGGCTGTAGTCCTTAGTTGTATTTGTATTTCTACTTAGATTGTTACATTGTTGGGAACCTTTGACTTGGGCCGGACAACTTTTAAAAATTGTTAAAATGGCACAGGATAATAACAACCAGCAGGCTTAAAGAATGGGTTGGTGCTGATGAATTAAATTGTTTAATGAATAAATGTTTCAATAAAACCTTTGTATTTTAAATCCTGTGGCTATTTTTAAAAATGTATTGGTTTAATTTCCTACTATGAAAAGGGCAATGAAATATCTGACAACCTCAGGAACATTAAGGTTCTAAAAATTTTCCAGATAATCATTATGGTTACCAGTCCACACTTTTCAGTAATGCAAATATGGAAGGAGTAGATGATTGAGTTTGCTTTCTTCCAAGCCCAGGATATATTAGAGAAGCTAGTGGATGGGGGAGAATAAACACCTAATAGTAGTTTATCTTCTTGTCATGTGTTCTTTCTCTTTAGAGAAGAATTTTTGAAGTTCACTTTATCCATCTAAGAGTTACCTTACCAAGAATGCATATAGTGCAATAAAAGAAAAACAAGGGAAATTTTCAGTTAATAGAGGGTTCTATACAAATTGGACCTGGTTATTTGAAACTTGAGCATGATTCTAAAAAGTTATTTTAAAAACAATGTTATAATTATTGGTTGATAGATGCAAAGAAAACATTTGACAAAATTCAACAACCATATATGATAAAAACTATCAACAAAATGGGTAGAAAAGGACCATAGCTCGACATAATAAAGGCCACATACGACAAGCCCCCAGCTAACATCATACTCAAGGCTGAAAAGCTGAAAGCTTTTCCTCTAAGATCAGGATCAAGACAAGGATGCCCTCCCTTGCCACTTTTATTCAACATAGTACTGGAAGAACTATCCAGAGGAATTAGGCAAGAAAAAGAAATAAAAGGCATCCATTACAGCAAGGAAGAAGTAAAACTGTCACTATTTACAGATAACCTTAATTTATATATGGAAAACCCTGAAGACTCTACCTCAAAACTGTTAGAACTAATAAATGAATTCAGTGAAGTTTCAGGGTATGAAATAGAGAAAAATCTGTTGCATTTCTATATACTAGCAGTAAATGATCCCAGAAATTAATAATCCCATTTACAGTTGTATCAAAAAGAATAAAGTATCTAGGAATACATTTAAATAAGGAGGTAAGAGACAGACCTGTATACTGAAAAGTTTAAGACACTGATGAAAGAAAGGCACAATTATTTTTTTTTAAAGATTTTATTTATTTATTTGACAGAGAGACACAGCGAGGGAGGGAACACAGGCAGGGGGAGTGGGAGAGGGAGAAGCAGGCTTCCCGTGGAGTAGGGAGCCCGATGCGGGGCTCTATCCCAGGACCCTGGGATCATGACCTGAGCCGAAGGCAGACGCTTAACGACTGAGCCACCCAGGCACCCCAGAAAGGCACAGTTAAATGGAAATATACTCTGTGCTTATGGATTGGAAGAATTAATATTGTCAAAATATCTGTACTACCCAAAGCAATGTACAGGTTCAGTGCAATCCCTATCAAAGTTCCAATGTAATTTTTTTCAAAGAAATAGAACAAATAATCCTAAAATGTGTATGAAACCACGAAAGACCTCAAATAGCCAAAGCAATCTTGAGAAAGAAAAACAAAGCCAAAGTGATTTTCTTAGATAACTAAGCTCTACAGACTTCACAAGGGCAAGCAAAGACTTGATCTGTCTGGGTCACCTCTGTATCCTCAGAGTCCAAAGTTGTGTCAGGCACATAAAAGAGTTACAGCAGGTATTTGTTGAATGAATGAATGAATGAATGAACGAATGGCTGAATATTTACATGAAACTTACGTGGTTTTTCTTAATTTTGTATTGGACTTTAAAAATCATTTCATTTTAAATTTGTGTTCTCAATCTAAGAGAAAGCCAGAAATTGCATTTTTAAAGAAACTATTTGATTATATATAATCTCTTTCTCTTTTGCTTTCATATAAAAAAAAATTAAAAGACCAAGTACCTACCTTCTTATTTATTTTAAAAACTCTTGAAATTCTGTATCCCCCAAGAATCTTTAAGACTAATGTTGAGGGGCGCCTGGGTGGCTCAGATGGTTAAGCGTCTGCCTTCAGCTCAGGTCATGATCCGGGGGTCCTGGGATCGAGCCCCACATCGGGCTCCTGACTCAGCGGGGAGTCTGCTTCTTCCTCTCCCTCTGCCTCTCCCACTGCTCATGCTCTCTCTCTCTCTCTGTATCTCTGTGTCTCAAATGAATAAATAAAATCTTTAAAAAAAAAAAAGACTAATGTTGAAATTATTAAACACATTGGACTAAAAAATCAGATTTTCTTTTATCTTCATGAAAGCTTGGTATTTACTGTATTTTAGGTTTAATAGTTATATAAAAGTAGCCATTCTGAGCAGGGAAAGGAAAGATAAAGGGCTGGCTATAACTGATTCAGGACTGACTGATAGATTGGTGATTAGACAATCTTGGAACAAACTCCGTTATTCCTTATTGTTCAACCAGCAAGCAACTCAGCTAGTTTAGTACCAATATAAATGCAATATTTCTTACTGTATCTTCACTATATTTTGGTAAGTTTCTAAGTACCTAGGTGGAAGGAGAAACAAAGCTGTTTAGTTTCATTTGTATTTTACCCAGCAAAGTGCACTAAAAAACTTAAGATTTGGTGATATTCTGTGTGCATTCCCTATTGATTTTTGTAGCTGTGTCACATGAGAGAAAAGATCATTTTTTTTCCCTTAGTGGCCACTGTGTGATGTGTTAGAAGGAACTGATTTGGCTTACTAGGTTTAGAGAAACCAAAACTATGAAGAGCTCTCTTTCCATAATTGGCAATGAGGTATTTGGAGTTTATAAGAAGACTGTAAAGTTTTGACATATCTATATTATTATAAAAGAACAATTTTAAGCAATTAAAATTAAGGCTTAATGTACAAAGTATTATATTGTTTATATTAAAAATAGCACAAATATGAAGCCACTCAATTCTCCAAGAATTTCCAAGACAGGAAAATTTTATTTAAATAATCTGTGTTAAGAATATATTATACGAGGGGTGCCTGGGTGGCTCAGTTGGTTAAGCGACTGCCTTCGGCTCAGGTCATGATCCTGGAGTCCTGGGATCGAGTCCCACATCGGGCTCCCTGCTCAGCAGGGAGTCTGCTTCTCCCTCTGACCCTCCCCCCTCTCAGGCTCTATCTCATTGTCTCTCTCAGATAAATAAATAAAATCTTTAAAAAATATATATATTATACGAGTGCTTTACATATATTATGTCCTGTAATTTTTAGAATAAGTGTACAGATTAAATATAGTCAGCCCTATTCCATGATGAAGAAATTGGCCTTTTCCAAGGCTGCATCACTGGTAGACAGCTGAGTTGAGATCACGCTGATCTTTCCCCTAAACCACTGGGCAGACGACACAGCCAAAAAGACTGGAGGCTCTGAAGTGACCTAAGAAGTAGCAATACAGAAATGTGCCAATGATAAGTGGAAAGTTGGATATAAAATGTACATATGTTGCAATTAGAGTTAATAAGTGTTTGAATAAAAAGATCGGAGTACAGTACATAAAGATTTTTGTGCTTGTATTAGATGGGCAGAGTTTGGGGTGGTGTTTTTCCTTTATCTTCTAAAATATCTATAGTTGTAGATAAGTCACTTTCAAATTAAAGTATCATTAAAATAGAGTGACTGTAGCATCAGTTTAGTTCATCAGAGTATCTAAAAATCTTAATGCTTTTGATATGCTTCTGAAAGATTGTATGGTCATTTGAGCTTGTATTGATTTTATTTTTAAATTCCAGATCATCAAGTTATTGGATGGAAAACGATCTCAAACTGTGGGAATCTTGATATCTAGTTTGCATTTAGAAATGAAGGATATCCAACAGGGTAAGTCTTCTCCATCACTTTTTTTTCCCCAACTTTAACATTTTTCAACATTTTATCATGAAATTTCAAGCATATAAATGATTAGAATGCCATAATAAATCCCATGTACCCAATATCCAGCTACAAAACCACCAATCCACTCTTGTTTCATCTGAAATACTCTCCCTCACTAGCTAGACTATTTTAAAGCAAATACTAGACATTTTATAATTCATCTGTTAAAAATGTCAGGACACTGATAAAAAGTTAAGGATGCTTTTTCAAGCATAATTCCAGAGCAATTGTCATGCATTTAAAAACATTTATAATAATTTTTCAGTATTATCATATACATAGTTCTAATTTCCCTGATTGGACATTCACTAATTCATCCATTTGTTTATAATTAGTTCGAAGATCCAGACAACTTTCATGCATTGCCTTTGTTGGGTGTCTCCCAGTTTTCTTTTAATCTAGAAGTTTCTGTACTCCATGCTATTTCCTTTTTTCCTTTGTAATTAATTTTTTTAAGACACCAGGTCATTTGTCCTGTGGAGTTTCCCACATTTTAGATTTTCTGATTGCATTGCTGTTTTCATTTATTATGTTTTTCTGTCCCCTGTGGTTCCTTAGGTAAACAGTTTGATCTACAGACTTGATCCCAGTAGGGGAAGAATACTTCATAAATGCTATTGCATATTGTATCAAGAAATACATAATATCTATTTGTTTCTTTATGTTGTTAGTGGACACTAAAGATCTTTGCCTAGATTCATTATTTCATTAGAAGTTTACAAAATAATGATACACCGACTCCATCATTTCTCTTCATTAGCTGGAATACTTCTATGGTGAAACACCTTGCTTCTTCGTCTACTTGGTTATGTCATTGTTTCTTAATCCCTTCTTTTTGTCAAATGATGCTATTTCAACTTGATTATCTTTGGCTCAGTTCGAAATAGAACATTTAAAAAAAGGAAATTTTACTTACATATATTTTTCTTAGTCTCTAGAAAAAGAGATCAAAAACTATCTTACCTTTTTGAAATCTGTGTCTTGCATGAAAACAATACTCCCCTTTCTCAGTAATCAATTAAATATAAATCCTTATTTTGACATGTCATTGATAATATTTTCTGAGTAGTAATACAATCTCCCATAGATGGTTTCAGTCGAATTCAGCATGGGCTTAACAGTGGATACTCTCTCAGACCTCATTGCCCTTCAGGTTTTTACTCTGTGCTGCCTCAAGGTTGTTTTACCCAGGTGCACAGCAGAAGACTTGCAGAGGTCCTGAACCAAAAGACACCAAGATATACACACTAACGGTTTAAAATTTTGCTTTATTGCAAACATAAAAAAAACTCCCCATAAAACTAAAGATATTGTGAATTAGCTGATGGTCACAGAGGATGCAAACAAGCTGTCTATAACACTTTAGCTTAATTAAGTGGAACTAAATATATAAGGATGAATATTAAACCTCAAAAAATGTTGCAGCAGGGGATTTGAATTTGGCCAGGGGCAGCCAAAGGGATCCACCATCAAAATATGGGAAAGGGATTCTTCAGTGATTTTTCGGAGCTAGATTTTCTAGAAAAATTGAGTTTCTGGTAAATTCAAACCAGGGAACTGTGACGTGACACAGGAAAGGAAAAATGAAAGAAACGAAACACATAAATCAGCAGGACAGCTGATTGTCTTTTGTCAAAGAGATGAGCTCTTTTGATGTAGTCTGAGTTTGGAAAGGAATTCTCCAGCTCTAGCGGCAGAGTGGTATCCTAAGCAACACCACTCCTCCGAAGTTTGGTGGAAACCCAGGTATGCCCGGTTTCATCACCATGATGTGCAGCACTGTGGATACGAGTCTTCATAATGGCGGCAGCACCTGAGACTCGATTCAGTTCTTTTTGGGCACATCGCACTGTAGTGTATCAGGCTGCCGTGTGACGGGAGTCCTTCCAGCCGTGTGGTATTCCAGTTACCAACTCCGGACTATCAACCTCCTTCCCATGGCACCCCAGCCTCGTTGGAGCGAATGTTCACTGTGAGTGAGCTGAGAGATTAGTCCCCCCACACCTTTTCCAGTACTCTCCTCTAGACAAGAGCGTGCTCACCTGAAGCCGTAGCGAATTTACATGTCCGCGTTGGAAATGTCGTAACATCGCAGATTTCTCGGACTCGTGGGCACCATTTTAGTTCTTTCTCCTGTTCCAAGCACCTCCGTTCCCCACCACTGAGTTGGCTCCTAAGTTCTTAAAAAAAAAAAAAAAAAAGTCACCTCTATTCCATGTCTTCATTTAGTAATGCATTCCAGATGAATAGAACCCAAGCTTAATTTTGCTTTAGAATCATGTGACTGACACTGGCATCCGAAGGTCACTTAGGAGCCCAAGCTGTGTCAGTTACATTTCGTGCTGCGTCTGTGTCTGGTCGTGAATGGAATGCACTTGGCCTTGTGTTGTCATCCTGATGAAAGGACTCGCTGTACTGCTGTTGGCCCAGAGCGCATATTTGGATGCGAGAGGGGCTGCAGTGAGCCCCGCCTGGGGCTGACCAGCTGGGAGCCAGGCAAGGCCGCCCAGCACATCAGCCCGGGTGAAATGACCCCGGTGCCGAGGCTGTTCTTCAGCCTGTGGTCATACGGTCATCACTGTCAGTGCCCAAAGACAGACGCACTGACTTGCATTTCCCAAACTCACAAGGAGCTGATGTATAAACCAGAAAGCGAACGTAGTCACTACATTCAAAGTCACTACGTTCAAGTCACTACGTACAAAGTCACTACGTCCAAAGTCACTACGTACAATACAAAAGAATTTTCCTTTGTCATGATGAAACTATTTATCATGTCGGTTCATCGTTGCATCCCTATCACTTGCCTCTCCTCTCACTGTGTATTTGTTGATGCTCTTTTCCCCCTTGCTGGGATGACAGCGTGGTCGCCTTGATAATAGTTTTGGGTATGTCCGTTCACATACGTTACCTCCCATAGCTGGATAATCCACTTTTTTCCTGGTTCAACTCTTAAAAAGCAACCTTGTCATCCTCCTTTGTAAAGGTGGTCACTTTTCTCTTGTCCACGAGACACTGCCTTTGATGTCTATTCAAGAAGTGGAATTTTGAAGCTCTGTACCTCCAGGTCTTACAGATAGCAAGTTTGCTCCTTTATGCCCTGTTGTGTTTTTTTTTTTTTCCTAAGAATTTCTCTGATAATTAAACCTTGTTTACAACTAATTGGGCTAACATATCACATATAAAAGCCACTCGTTTTTTCTTTAAAATTTAATTTGATTTAAAAAAATAGACTGAACCTTAGAATAGATGGAATCAGAATGTCATGCATCCCACTCCAGTGCATTTGGGCAAAACTTTCTTCCTTTCCTCCTGCCTTCCCGCCTTCCCTCCCTCAGGAAACATGGATTGAATGCCAGTTCTGTACCAGGCACCATGAGCACCCCAACACATAAGATCCAGACTCTCACATTCTCAGGAGTGCGCATGATGGTGGGAGAGACGTACAAAGCAGCCCAAGGCAACAGTAGAGTTGCCCTTGAAATAACAGAGAGGCATATCTTGACTCCTCCTGTGAAACTTAAGATGAGTCTTAGAAGATGAAACAGTGGTCATCACATGCAGGACAGAAGGCATGTGAAGAGGAGGCCTGCTAGGATATATAGATGACGCGTGACTGTGGGCTGTTTCAGGGCCTAGGGCTAGAAAGGCAAGTGGCATCCAGACCCGGAGGGGCCCTGAACATCATACAAACTTTAGACATTATCCCTTGAGTAACCGGGAGACACGATTTAAGAGTGTCAATGCTGTGATCCAAGTCCGAATACAGAATACCTCTCAGGCTGTGGAAGACAGGCCTCCAAGGCCTTGCGTGCTCTGGCCCTAGCCGGTACCTCCAACTTCACTTGGTCGTGCTTGCTTCCTGTCTCCCTGCATGCTAACCACAGCAGTCCTCCTTGACTCCTTAAAAAGGCCAAGTTCTTTTCTTCTCCTGTGTCTCTGAAAGTGTAGCACTTTGTGAGCAGCATTTCACATTCCCTCTGTTTGAAATGCTTTTCCACCCCACTAGAGCGAGCTCCTTTTCTTTGCTAGGTTTTGGCATAGAGGACGCCTCAGAGACCCTCCTGAATGTAAGCTACCTAAATCAATTCTCTTCTATTCTACCCAGCACTTAATACTTCATTTGTTGCTCTACTTATGTTTCCATTTACACCCATCACCAGAGTATAAGTTCCAAGAGGGAGATTGCTCAGTGCTGTGTCCCTAGCACCTTGCAGTGTGCCTGGCACCTGGGTGATGATCTTCAAGGATCTGTTGAATGGAGAGACAGAAATCATATCAAAGGTTGATAAATCTGTTAGAAAGGGATTGTGATGACTGAGATAATAAATGGTGAAGGCCAGAACTAAGGCTGTGTCTATAGAAATATAGGGGAGACCACATCCAAGGACTATTTGGAGAGAGAATTCCTCCATTTAGCCACATCAGAGGCAAGCAGTGATGGAGAAGAAGTCTTTATGCACCTTGGATTTCTGGCTTCAACAAGAATGTATATAATGAATGGTACTAAAACATAAACAGAAAGATAGGAGAAAAAGCATAGGTAAAAGCAGGAAGATCAATTCTGTTTTAGGATTTGAGTCTGAAACAACTGGAGATATTGAAGCTAACGTGTTCAATGAGCATCTGAAAAGTCTAGCCTGATGCGAAGTAGGTAGGGCTCTGTTGGAGATAAAACATCGCCAAAAAGGTATCTGTTTCTCTCTACCCAAGATGATGCTGGATATCTTGTAGAAGAAAGCCAAGTCCCTAAATGGACCGAAGTTTAAAGCACTGCATGACTCACGGCAGGACCTTGGTTGTGGCGGGGGAAGAATGGTTTCAGGAGACTGACCATAATCCCCACAGCACTTGTATTTGGTCCAGGAGAGACTCTGAATAAGTGATTTACTTCTTGCTGGCTTTCCATCTGCTAAACTTGATGACTTGTATTTAAAAGCATTTTG